CCATTTACAGATGGGTGAATCAAGGCCTGGAGAGAACGCCCAGGGTCACACAACATCTGATTAGTTAGTGACAGAGCTTAGTCTCAAGCCAGATCCCCCACCTCCAAGTCAGCAGGCTTTCTGCTGCCCTGGGGCTGCTTGACATCACCTTGTTGGCCTGAGATCTTTTGAGATCAGTAAGCTACCATTTACTCCTACAGCTCCGGCCTTAAATGAACAAGACCCTTAAGATTTTCAAGAACCTTGACTGAACATATCCATAAAAGATTTGGGTCTTTTCTAAAAATGCTGTTAAAAAGTGAGCAATCACAACAGACCACACCAAATTTCACTTCAAAATCTGCTCTTCTCCAGCTAATCACCACTTGTACTCAGAGGTTTATCCTGTGAGGATGCTGAGAGCCAGAGAGAGCCTCTGGTGGTTCCCAATTAAGGCTGCTTGAGAAGGACTGTGGCATCAATGAGGACATGAAACAGCCAATGCATTCTGATTATCCAGGGGTGCATGCACTCTCTAGCCCCTTGGTATTTTTAGGTAGAATGAAAGGCCGAGTTACAGAAAACTGTCAACAACAGCAAAAAATACTTTAAAGATCTCAGGCATCTGTATGTGCTTTCATGTGTTCTAAAGTGAGTTCTCAGTACGGTTTACCTTTGTCCAGCCTTGATCTTAATAGAAATCTGTCCAGCCAAGAGTGAGGTACCATCTATATTGGCCTCATACTTCTTAAAAGTTCACACATCTTCCATCCCTGTATACAAATGATCTGAAAGAGGCAGCTACCAACTTTTCCCATCAGCTGGCCCTTCTGCAAGAAGCAATATGATGATCATGTAATCTGAGCCAGGCAGCCATGTACCTACCACCCATGACATAAGCTGTGCAAATGCCTCCTGCCTACCCAGGCCCCTCCTGAGATCACGTGTCCCCCAGCACACACACATATATCCTGTGCTCTCCTCTGGCTCTGCACACATCTGTCCATGCACAAAGTACATCCACAGACCTTATCAGCAGCACCACACGGGGCTTACACTGGTCTCCAGTAGATTTGGTCCCTCTCCAACAGACTCAATTTTAAATAAAAATAAATCTAAAACCCTGGCAACGGTCATTAGTTCAACATCTCCACTGCCAGAAACTGCCTGCCTCATTAAAGAGTAAAACAGCAGCTGGTGAGGTCTTGAGGCAGGGTGGTGGGTTTTAAAGATTTTCTGTGTCGGCCTGACTCCCCTCTCTCACTTCAGCCAACATGGGAACATGCGGATTTACATTCCCTCCAACAGGGCCAGAGCGCTGTAACTGCTCAGAAGAAGGTCTGAAGGAGCCTGGAGCAGAAGCCTCCACTCAGTTAGTTGTCTTGAATGGAGGGGAAGAGGAGAGGCCTGAACATCTGATCCATCTGGGAGAGGAATTGCAGGGATGGGAAACGTTATGTAATTAAACTCTGCTGGCCTGTCCCGCCTGGGGAATGTGAGACCCATCAGCAGTGACCTCTTCCAATCAACTTAATTGGCCCAATCTCGCCAAGAAAAGCAACAGAATTGGTTTAGTGCCTCATGGAAATAGCTTAGCTCCTGACTATTTATGGCCACTGAACTCGAGGATGGGAGCCTGAGTCTGAGCCAGGAGTTGACAATGTGTGCTGACTTCTGGGAGGACCGGGAGGCTACAGTGGGTTTCCCTGCCTCTCTGTGCCCCCCACCTCTGTCTCAGGGGAAAGACGTTTTAGCAACTTGCTGCACTGGGCTCACTGCACTTTACAAGCCCAAAGCCTCTTACAAGGCAGGGTCTTGCCTCCAAGGACCCGCAGTCTAGAGCAAAACAGACCTTCACTGCAACCCAGGATGGCTGGACTTTGCTCCTCTTTTATTCAAATATGCCAAGGACAATTACTATTTTCTCTGTGTTCAAAGTCACATTTATTTTCATGTCGTGGTCTACATAGCTCATGTTAAAGAACAGGAAAATGTCTCTGATAATTAATAACATCGATTTTGGGGCCACCTTTCTTCAGAATAGTTCAAGGACCTTTCATGAAAACTGATTTCCAACAACTGCAATGTCGGTTAGGTTGCCTCCATTTCTTGGGTGAGTAATCTGAGGTAGTTATAGAAAGTTCTCTTTGCAAAGTACATGAGCAGTAGTCATGCAGTGAGCATTAAGACTATGTTGCCAACTTGGGAAGGGGTATAGGTCTCATTTTTACCATGGTCACAGACATGCTAGTGCCTGTATTCAATGAGACTTCACCTCTGAGTAAAGCTTTGTACTCCTCCCCATACCAAGCTTTGACTGGGGGGAAAGCAGAGTGAACTTTTCTTCTCATTGAGTCATTCCTGGGATTAGAACATTTTCCCCAAAATCACACTGCTCCAAAGGGGCACAACTGAAGTAGAATCAAGGCATTCCCACCATCCTCTGAAATGTCTGCCACCAGGTCTTCTGACCAATGGTCACACCCTATTTATCAACTCTCTCTTACGCAGATGAATTTCACCTAAAAATAAGGTAGAACTTCAAAATGACACAGCTCTGATGTCATGAATTTTAAAATGTCAGGAGTCAAATAAAGTCTCCCCAATTATATGCCCTCGCATGATTAGAACCTAATAAATGAGGTTTCCTATCATCTGGTCTGGGCAAGCATGTATGTGCAATCAAAAGCACCCCCCTTCTGCTCTATTCCAGGGACCTCACTAGCTGTCTCAGAATATGAACGCAGTCAATGTCACATTTCCCTCACTCCTCAAATGCTCCCGGAAGCCTACAGCTCTTCTTTTATCTATACCTTTTGTACTTAAAATACACATCTGAGCATCCAAGACAATTTTCATCTTTCCTCAGGCACACAGAACTCCTGCAAAAAAATATGCCCTACCCCCTCGTAAGGGCCAGAACATATATTCCTTCTATCCTCTGACTCGCCTTCTCTTAGTTACTTAACTTCAGCCTTACTGTGTGTGTGTGTGTGTGTGTGTGTGTGTGTGTGTGTGTGTGTGTACATGGACACACACATACATGCACCCTGGGTTAGCTACACACTCACAGCCCAGAAAACATCAAAGATTAATAAGACACTCCCAATCTGATATGTCAAGTCTCATTCCTCATTCCTGCTAGTGAGGAAGTACTGCACATTTCCAGAAACTCAATCCTCAAATGTATCAGGACCTGCTTTCTGCCCTGGATCACAGCACCCACCCCCCATGCCCAGCCCACACCCACAATGAGGAACAGGAACACCCTTCAGCTGCATCCCCAACACACAAAACCAGACCTCATCCCTATCCTTGTGCGCCCTTTTTACAAAATCACAGATATATTTCAGGTCAGGTTCCCTTTGGCCCCTAAGATCCATAAACATCTCTAGACTGAATTATGGTTCTTGAAGAGGCCTCAACTGGCATCCAGCTCTTTTCAGTCCTCTTGGCAAAACTGCAGCAGTCAGCTGAGTCCGAGAAGGAATGTTTCCAGGGCACGGTGCCATGCCCCAGTACCCAGTAATGGGCTCAGCATCCAGTAGGCATTCCACAAATATTAACTAATAATCAATATTAATTGGTAACAATGAATTCCTCTATTAAATAAGAAACCCATCAAATAACAGAATAGAACACGCACCTCTGCCACCAGTAATGCAAAATATATTCCTCCCCTCACTCCAATTTTATGTGGACGTCCTCCCTGATCATCACCTAGTGCTGACACACAGGGCTTTTCCCCTTAAATGTATATCCCTCATTCTAAGCCTTGTCCAATTCCTTCCTCTCTGAGGAGGTAGGGAGGGGGAGAAGGCAAAACCCAACCCAGCATCCTTCTCTGTAAATGCCTTGTTTCTCCATAAAGAGTGCCTGAGCCCTCACTTTCCTATCCTCTGCACACCCCAGTGCCATCCCAGCCACATTTCCCCATGCACACTCAAAAAGTTCACACTCGGCTCTTTGCAGATAATCTCTCCCTGCCCCCCCCCCCCCACTCCTTCCGTAATCCTCAGGAGCCCAACCTTCCACACACACGTCCACCTTTCGCTGCTACACACAGCCACCCTCCCACGCCACACCCACTCCATGTGTCTGTGCAGGCATGCACAAGCCATCTGTCTTCGACACACTGTACCTCTCCTCCTGCTCTGACACCCTTCACAGGCACAGATTTCTCATTAGCTACACCTATGTTCCCACATGCTCTCATCTCCTGCCAGTCATACATATGCGCATCCAACACTCTCCTCAGAAACGCACACCTCCACTGTGCACAGAGCAGGGTGGAGCTCCAGCTCTGCGGCCACCCGCAATGCACACCCTGGTGCAGAGACTTTCCAGAAACCTCCTTCCCTGACCACACAGAGCACCCAAGGGTCCCACTCTCCCTCCCTAGCAAAGCAGATCCATTCACACAGAACCCAGCCCTCCAGTTCCAGCTACAATCCCGTCCTTACCAACTGCAAAATCTTACACGCTCCTTGCTGCAGGCCCGCAGACTTGCAATTTTCCTCCAACACTGTTCACAGAGCCTGCTTTCTTCTCCTCTCTCCCTCCCCACTCCCAACACCATACCCAGGTCTAAGTGTCCGAGACCAAGGCAGAGGCGGTTGGATTTTGTCCCCTAAATTCTACCTCTCAACTTTCTTTGTGCAACATGTCAGGAAGGAATTGGGGGCGGGAGGGAGCCAGGCTGAGTATGCTGGAGAATTTCTGGGTGTAGGGAAAACGCAACCAACTGCAAAGTTCCCTCTATGTTACAACTTTCTCCCCTGCTGACATTTAGGGGAGAGGGCTTAGGTGTTTTTCTTGCTCTCAGGTCTGTCGGCTGGGAGAGGACATCTCTTTATGAAAAAGCAGGTCGTCCAGCACCTTCTCTAATAGGCTCCAGGAGTGACACCCACCTCCTCTCATGCCAAACCTCCCAGCTCCCGCCCCCTGCTCTTCGCACACATAAACAGCCCCCCCCGCCCCCCCCCCCCCGCCCCCGCCCCCCCCGCGCGAGGCGCCCCAGCTCTCCTGCTCTGAGCCCAGCGCTCCGGCTGAGTCCAGGAGGCTGCCTCCATTCCGACTCTGAACCTGCCGCCCGCCGCCAGAGGTCTAAAGGAGGCGGTCCAGTTCAATGTTTCCTCCACCTGGAATGCTCCCAGACGTGGGAGGAGCCCTTACCGGTTAGCAGCCCCCACCCGGTTCGGCGCGAGGGTCTCAGTTCCGTGCATTTAAAGCGCAGCTGAGGAATGCAGGAGCTAAACTCCCCCCAAAGAAGCAGCGCCTCCTCGCCGCGCACCCACTGGCGCCCGAAAGCACCAGAGTCCCCTCCCCCACCCCTCCTTTCCCAAACCTTCAACTTCCAAGCGTCCCTGATTCATTTGGAGTAGGAGTAGCGCTTTGGGGCAATGGGGTAATTTGGCCCACCGGGGGTCCTTTTGACTCCGACGTAGTTCCGCCGGTCCCCGGTCTCCCAGCCTTCCCACACCGCCGCCTCAAATTCCGAGAGCTGGCTCGGAGAAACGGCGAGGAATTCCCCAGGGACTGCCCGGCCAGCTTGCCCGCCGCTCCCCGCGCGGTCCCAGATGCACGGAGAACGCGCGGAGCTCCTACATCTGCGCAGAGACCCGGGGTGGGGTAGCCGCGGGGTGGGCGCTGGCCACAAGGAGTCCGGGGTGCGTGGCCGTTGCCGAGAAAAGCTTTCGGAAGAGGCAAGAGTATTCCAGCACAGGTACGCCGCGCCGGGCGAGAAGTTGCAACTCCCAAACTCGGAAGCCGGCGTCCCAGTCCGGAGCTCCGAGTCCCCTCCCCCAGCCCACGCCCGGGACCAGGGAGGGGGAGGCATGCAAGAAGCCCCGCGATGTTGGGAGCCGGGCGCCGGGCGCGTGCCGGGGAGCCGTGGTGACACGCTCGACTCTTCCCTGCGCGGGATCTGTCTGCCACCCCCTTTTGTTACAGGATGCACGGGGAGCCCTCTCTGCAGGAGCAGACGGGTGTGTTGATTGGGGGTTGGAGGGCGGTTCTGCTGAATCTCTTCGCTGCCCTTCCGTCGTCCCTATTTCCCCTCGCCTCCGCCCCCATTTCCAATCCAGGTCCCTTAAACCTGATCACTTTCCCAGATATTGGGCGGTTTCTCGGGCAGCCCAGGGACGGGAGAAGAGGTGGGGAGGAGTGTCCGTGTGTGCGTGTGTGTGTGTGTGTGTGTGTGTGTGTGTGTGTGTGTGTTTGAGTGTGTGGTGGGGAGGGGGTGGTTGCGGTTGCGCCTCGGCCTGGGCAGATCCCAGCGCAAACTTCGGGGAAGGCACAAGCCCGGGAAAGTGAGCCAGAGCCCAGCGATGGAGGTGGGGGCGGGGTGCAGAGTTGGGGACCCCCGCGCTAGTCCACTGGAAAATCCCCCTACTCAGCTTCCCACCCCTGAACGTGCCCACCCAACGTACCCGCCTCCCCTTACCGTGGCAGAAGTAACCATGGCATCCGTGTGACTGTTTCCAGGGACGTCGACATGAAGAGAAAGGTGGACGCAAACTCGGTCATTCAAAGTCTCTCCCACCCCTCCGCCTCCACTACCCAGCAGGGGGAAAAAAAGAGAAGAAGAAAGAAAGAAAGAAACGGGAAGAAAGTAGTTGCGCCAGGCTCTCTCGCGGGGCCGCGCGCGGAGCTGCTCGGTAGGGAGAGGAGCCTTCAACTCTGAGTCCCGTGAACATAATCTGCGCGGTTATAACCAGCCAACCCGGCCAGATGGCTCCGCGCTCAGCGCCTTAACCCCTTCAGCGCCGCGCCACCCGCCCCCGCGCCCGGCCGCCGCGCGCCTTGCCAGCCCAAGCCCCTGTGCCCCTCCGACTTGGGGCTGGTGTGGGGTGGGCAGTGGGGCGACGAGGTCATCTTTCCTAGCCTCTCTAAAAGAAAAACACCAAAAACTTCCAAGTTAATAGTAGGCTTCACTATCCCCCTTAGAGATCCAGGAAAAAACGAAATATTCAACTTTTCACTGTATTTTACATGTTAATGTCTTCAGCCTGTCTTATTTGTTTTTTTCTTGAGAAACTTCCTTTTGATCTTTTTTTTTTCTTTCTTTTTATTTAAGATTTTCCTCTCTAGGCAGAAGGGCCTTTCTTGCCCCTTCCCCCTGGCGGCTTGGGTCTAATGTGCAAACTCCTCCTCCAAACCTTAGACCCTTCCAGCTCTAGATCTCTCCCCACCTCCTATCAAGCCCACCCGTCACTCCTTCCCCCACCCCACAACGCGAACACGTCCAAGGACAATCACTCCCCAGCGAACTCGCTGCTCTCAGGGACCAGTACCCAGGACGCTGTGCGGGAGGTCAAGGACAGCGGAGTCAAGAGGTAGGGGGAGGCGGGGTTCAGGGGGACCTAGGAAGGGGCGGCCGCGCGCGCGCGCGTGCGCGCGCGCGCGCGTGTGTGTGTGTTTGCGAGAACGTGAACGTGGAGGAAGAGGGAGATGGATCGGAGACTCCCATTTCACCCAGCCTCCAACTTCTTCTAAGCCCCTTCCTAGGATGGGGCCCTGCAGCTGAGCACCCGCCCAGCACCCACCAGTCTGCACGCGGGGACAGCGCGGGGAAGCAGAAAAGGCAAAAGCCACAAACAAACCTCGTAGTAGCGCTTGGAAAGTTGTGACGCTCGCTCCCCCACCCATAGATTATTCGAGGAAAGGATGGGAGGGAGGGGGCAAAATCTCTTATTTCGCGATAATTTTAGCTGCCCATTAGACCCCACTTGTTCTGAGATCGTTCTCTCTAAATTTACCGAGTTAAGTCATCTTGCTTTCGTCCATTTGCCATCGAGAGAAGTGGGGGGCCGGGGGGAGAATGTCGCTTAGGGGTCAAGGAGAAATTCAGAGCCTTGGAGCGGATTTTTGTGCTCCTGACCCCCTCCGGCTCAGCTCCCCGGGCCAGGGCGTGGCGGACTCCGTCCTTGAGCCCCCTACCACTTCCTCCCTGCAGTCTCTGCCACTCTTTGGCCCCATCTCGTGCCAGGACCTTTTGATTCACGCGCGATTGGGGGAGGGGAGCAAGTAAGTATCCCGTCTCGTCTCGTCATGTCCTGCCATTCCAAGGTGGGTAAGAAGCAACCCACTCTGTTTCAGCCGGCGTCAGGTTAAAAAAATCCAAATTCCTACGACTTGTTTGAGAATTTGGTCAAACACCGAGAAGCACGGGCACTGCGCCTACCAGATCAGGCCGAACCCGACGCAGAGCAAGGCTGCGGGGTCCGAGCGGAGGTAGGAAGGGATGGGGAGCCTGGGGGGCTGCGTACTAGATAGATTGTACCTGCCTCATCATTATCCTGGCTGCTGGAGGCTGCCACATCGAAAACGGCCAGAAGCGCCCACTGAGGCCCAGGGGTCGCACCTCCCGCAGTCCCTGGAAAGAGTGGGGTCTTCCTTCAGTGCCTCCCTCGTGCCAAAATGTTGAGGTCCTCCTCCGGACTGTTCCCTCCACTCGGCACACACAGCACCATGAAGGTTTGGATTGGGCGTGATCTGCTGGATTCTGGTTTTCTCCCTGAGCTCTGGCCCGCCTCCCTGCCCTCCCCCACTTCCCGCACTTCACCCCCACCTCCGCTGTCAAACGAAGGATTCAGGCCCAGTTTCAGCTCCACTGGCCAAGTTCTAGGGGCTCCTTTCTGGAGCTCCAGGTCCTCCAGTAACCCGAGGGTTGCAGGGAAAGAGGTGGTTGGCTCCTGCTGCAGCAAGGAAAGGGTTAAAAACATGTGCAGGCTGATCCGCCTGCAGCTCCTCGGTCACTGGCAGTCTGGAGGGAGGAGGGGGAGGAAGGGGGCAAACTTAAATTTGAAAAATCAGAAGAAAAAAAAAAAGAAGAAAAGGCAGCAGTGAGTTTAAGACCCGATTTGTTCTGCAGATGCTGTGCACGGACTGGCCTCCACACTTTGCCAGGACCTAGGCAAGCACAGGAAGAGTTTGTATTGTTTTCCAACTGGGAGTTGGGGGGGGGGGGGTGTCCTGCACTGGTGGGTCTGTCTTTGCTTGCAATCAACACGCCTTGTAATATGAGAGGTGACACCTTAATCTTGCCAAATATGTGTGGTGCCTTTGAGGGGGGGTGGGTAGAGGGAGGGGCTGAGGGAAGGAGAGAGGGAGAGAGAGAGAACCAGACAGAAGCAGAGGGTAAAAGATGCATTTTCCTCACTTTTTTTCCAAATGGAGAGCTACTGGTCCTTTCCTTTGTGGAAGACCTTTTTCAGAAAATCCCCCTCTAGCCGGCAAGCTGCCTTTTCCTTCACTGTTTTCCTTTCTGTTACAGAGTAAAAGATTCTTCTCTCCTCTCTAAAGACTAGGGATTGATGCCTAGGTCTCTCTCTTGGCTTCCAAGAGTAGCAAGGTGATCAAAGAGGAAGGTGACTGGAAAAAGGAGTAGAAGGTGTATATTTTTAAAAAGAGTAAAAGATAATTGTATGTAATGTAGATTCATTTGGGAACTGCAGAACATTGGGACTTCTAAGCAAATCCGTTTCTCTAAATAGAGGAAAATCTTAGTGGTATAGACAGCTAAAGCAAAGAACAGAACTAGGAAGTAAGCTGATGAGTTCATGCCCCATAGACAGTGCTGGGTGTGGAAGTCCATCTAGGACTAGGTCTTTTCTGATTAGCCAGGTAATCGCTTCTCTTCAAGTTGACTCCTTGGTCATGGCCTTGGCCATCCATCTGTTGACTGTATTTTTAGGTTGCTGAACTTTCTTTTTCTCCCTGAAAGTTGTTTGTGAGGGCAGGAACTAGATCCAGTGATTGAAAGCCCCCTTACAAAATCTCTCCTAAAGCAAATTTCTGGAGCATGCTTTCTGCCCACCCTTATCTTTTGCAATAGCACCACTCTGTGGTTGAAACACTGAACAGAAACAAAATGGAAATGTTGGAATGAATTATGCCCTTACCTTGTGAGAAATAGTATTGATCTACTGGATGTTTCAGTTAAATGGATTGTGTGTTGCAGGGGCTGCTCAGCATATGACAAGGGAGGGGGTCTTGTGCAGTAGGGGCATGCAGTTAATTCGTTATGACACAGTGACCCAGGAAATGAGAGAACTGGGCCGAATGGCCTCCAAGGACCCTTCCCTCTGTGACCGCATGTGGCAAGGCAAGCTTGGTTCTTTTCCCCAGCACCATACAGCTAGCCTTGAATATTTGTCCTCTCCCATTGTGTGTGGGTTTTTTTCCTGCCTTAGATTGCTAAACCATACTCCACACCTTAGCCTATCCTAAAGTATCTGCAAGTTGCCTCTTCTGCTGCTGGAGGGCACTGTGGAGAGGTTTGCAGAATGCTTGCACCTACTTTCTCTTGCTCCACCCTGTCCATCCATCCCCACCCCCACTCACTCAGACAGCTGCTTGAGCTCCTGGAGCCGGAAAGTCTATGTTTCTGAAACAATTAAAGTGCCTGCAAAAGGTGTTTGCATAGGGATTGCGAATTTAAGGGCCCAGTAAGGCTGTGTGTTACCTTGGCTCCTGGCACTCAAAAGATTCCTGGCTGCCCACCCATTACTACACACTTGTAACTATAGCATTATTAGCCAACAGTCATGTGAGCCCATGGTGCCAATTAGCGACTCCGCCCAAATGTCCTGAAGAGTGGTGGGAGCCATTATTCTTTGTTTTTTTTTTTTTCAAAATGGGTACAGATGTCTGTAGAAACTGAGTGACTTTATGTTTATTCAGCGAACCCAGGTCTTCCCTAAAATGTCCATCATCTTGAGGAAGTGCAGCTTTGATGCTATCAACCTTGAGCTCTCAACAGAGTAGGGAGACAGATCTAATTCTATCAGCCTCTGTGTCCCCCCACCCCCTACATTTAATAGTTAAGGATGCTAAGGCTCTGGCTTCTCCATAAATTTCCCCAGGGAAATAAACGAACAAACAAACAAACAAAAAACCAAACATAGTAACAGATCAGGAAGTAGAACTCATTAAAAGAGTGGGTCTTGGAATTGTACAAACCTAGATTCCATGCTCCCTTCTTCACTGGTAGCTGTGTGTCTTTGATAGGTTCCTGAACTTCTCAGAAACTGTCTGTAATTGGCAGAAACAATGCCAACCTCATAGGAGTATTATGGGGGCCACATGAACTAATTGATTTAAAATGCTGGGCACAGTCCAGCACAGTGAAGGCACCAACTCCCAATCTGATAGCCTTTCTACCGGAAACACCGCCAACCACATGGGTGGGGGATCTTAGCCTTTAGAAAAAGCTCCGGAATGTCCTCTTTGTTACTTGTAAGCTGTCTTGAAACATTTCATTAATGTAGCTTTATGGTTATATATTTTTCCCTTGGACAAAGACAGAAAGAACATAGCAGAATGAAGTAGTGGACATATTTGGAATTTAGTTTCCTAATGCGGGCCTCAGAGAGCATGAAAGACGTAGTTGAAGGATTTCAGAATCTCATCTTGTTTGTTCTTTGTCTCTAAGGCAGAACTGCCTCATCATGTAAAAGGAAATTCCACCATGTCCTTCAACTTGTAACAGATTGCCTAGTATATTATTGGTTTGTTGTTATTGCTAATTATGTTCTAGGGCTTAGATTGAACAATATGATGAATTGCATTGAATAACAATGGATCAACTCATTTTGTGAAATAGCATACATATTCATAATTATGTTTCAAGAAATTACCCATAATGATAGAGGGAAGGTATGTATTCCTACCACACAGGTGGATCTAGAAATCATAATAAAGTCTCCTATTTCACCAGTCATGACATGAATTCCTAACCACCCTATAAATTAACTTTATGCTGCACCAAACTCCACTCATATAAAAAATGACATTAAGGTTTCCTAGGTAACTAATGCACTTCCAAAGGGAATAGGCCTCAGGAGACAAAGAGGGCAGGGAAAAGGGTGGGGGGGTGGGGAAGTGAAGAAAAAGAAAAAAAAGAACATTAGATTAGACTCATGTGACATAAACAAAATATTTCATGGGGAAGGACTCATAAAGTTTTATTGCCTAGGTTTGACATAGATATGGCACAGCTATTAATTCCATCTTTGGATAATAAAATACTCAATAGGCTAGCCGTCTCATTAGGGATGCCAGCATTTCATATTGGAGGTTCAGATTAACAAATGGTGAGAGAAATCAGTCTTTTTCATTTATCTGCTAAGCTGTGTCCACTCACCAGCCAGCTGTTTCTTGAGCCCTCTATGGTTGTATTTAGACATAACCAAATTTTTGATATGAACGTGAAAAATAGGACTGATTTGGATGTTTCGAAATATGCAGATGCTTTTGATCTTATAGACTGGGAGCAGGTTGAAGGGACAGGCTCCAGGTCAGGTTTCCCACCACTCCTACTCCCACCTGCTGGTCTTTTTACTGTAGCTTCCTTCTTCTGGGGAAGGGCCTGGGGGCAGAAGAACATTTGAATGCCTAGGAGGAAATGGAAGATGGTAGGTGGAGCATAGATTTTAATTTATGCTGGAAGAATTTTGAGCAATTCTGAAAGATGGTGAAACCCAGATAATGTCTATGAGCTGGAGCCTGGAAGAATTAGAACATGAACTAGCTTTGTTGCTGCTTTGTGAGCTGGGGGACTTCACTAACCTTTCCAGTGTCTTGGTTTTACCATGTGTAAAAGGAACTTAACCTCATTTTATTGTGTAATTGGGAATATAGATAAGAAAACAAAGAAATACATTAATTTGAATAAAGTTGAGGGTTTTGTATTACCTGCTTTCCACCTACAGTAGCCTCAGAGTGATGTCTGTGGGTGGAGACTCCCAACTGGTTACAAACCACATCCAGGTAATATCTCTGTACAAAGTATGGTTGAGTTTCCCTGGTGGTCCATATAGTGGAAGTGTTCCTGCCCATAACCACTGGGACCGTCAGTGTTGAGTGCAGCCTGCCTTTTGCCTATTCCATGACCTGCTGGAAAATGGACACAAGATGCTGGAAAGTTGAATGTTTGCATCACACAATACCTTCCATTGAGTATTGAAGTCATTTTGGTATTTTCTCTAGTTGGGTACTTGGGGTAGGATTGAGGATTAGAAAAATCTCTGCCCACACCTTCCACTTACTACCCTTAGTAGGAACTAAGAGGTGGGGGTAGGGGGGAGGAGGAAAATTCTGGGAAGCAAATGTATAAAAATCTAAAGGTGAAGATTTCCCAAGTATTTAAGGCTAATGGGGACCCAGGTCTCCTTACCCTTAAATAGGAGTAAGCCAGTCTAGCTATGTGTATGACCACATATAATAACACATCCTATGAATACTCTCTTCATACCCATCTCTCCTCAGAATTCAAGGCTGGGGGAACCTGGAAAAGGTCACTTCATCCATCCTCTTGACCTTGAGACCAGTCCTCACTCTCCACTGGCAAGTTAGGTACTGTACTCATTTTACAGAGTAGAGTGAGGGGCAGAGAAGGTTCATTCTATTACCCATGTACCTTGAAAACATTCTCTTCACTTCAGTGGTCTAGGAAAACTGAGGAAGGGTAATTAATCATAGAGTTTTTTACTTTAAAGACCTTATGCCCAGAATTCCCACAAAACACCAAAAAGAGGTGTTAACAGTTCTTGGGGGCCAAGAAAAACTGAGTTCAAATTAAAATAAGCTTACATACTTCTACTTTCCCCAACACACACAGACAGACAGATATACCCATGCAGCCAACCCATCTGATGATTTTCTATATTTACCAGTCAGTTCACTGGCAGTTCTGCTCCTGTTCTCACCCTCAGAGCAGGCTGTCCTCAGGCCCCCTTCAGAATGCAAATAATGCTCAAGCAACAATGAGTACCCAAGCTGGGGCCTCATAGAAACATAAATGCCCAGTGCAGGAAGGCATGTTAGCAGGTAGGAACTTCTTTACAGATCATTATCATCATAATCATCATAACAATAGGTAACATTTATTGAGTGTTTACTGAATACCAGGTACTGTTAATAATGTTAGCATAATATGCCAGACACTGTTGCAAGCACTGTGTGTATGTATAGATGTATGCACACATGTGTGTTTGTGTATGCTGGTCTTAATTTAGTACTAGACCAGAGCCGGTGTTCGTGTCTCAGCTCCTATGTGATTGATCTTAGCCAAGTTAGTGTCCCCTCCTAGATCTCAATTTTTTAAATCTGTAAAGTGGAAATAATATTATGTGCTCTGTAGGGTTTTTCTAAGGATTAAATGATTTATAGGTAGGTACTATTACGATTTCACTTTACAGATTTAAAAAATTGAGCCATAAAGAGTTTATATAACTTGCCCAAGTATACATAGGTAGTAAATGAGGGCCAAAACAGAGCTTGAATCCAACTGCTTGTTACCTTTACACCATCCAACCTTGAGAGAGTGGTGTTTTAACAGGTGAAGAAACCAAAGCCAAGAAGGGGACAAGCAACTTGCTTAAGAACACTGGGAGGAGCTCAGATGTGAATTGGCTCTCCTGTCTATAGTACAAGGCTAAGACCAGCAGTAGGAAGGCTGCAATATCCAGAGTCAGTTCTCCTGGGCTCAAGGTTGTCCTGGGGTGGTGAGGGAAGGAAAAAAAATGGAGGATGAAGTCGAATAAGTTTAGGTCCATCTGTGGGTCCTTTGTGTGTCTTTCTAGGTGCATGTAACACACATCAGAACGGTGATTTGGTACATGGAAAAAGGAATGGTTTCAGCACCTACCCGTCTCTTCAGCAGGTTCCTTTGTCAGGATACACTTGTATAATTACATGACCGCCTTGAGTCAAGAGAGCTTCCACAAGAGCAGGACAAAATCACATAGTGCCAGGTTACCAAAAATTCTTCTAAGGGCGCAGGCCGTTGGCATGGCGCCAATGATTAAAAAGCTAATCAAAACTACTGTTTGCAACATCAAGATACACAGGAAAATAGTAGTGTCTCAAGTCTCTCATAAGCAATACGTCTGTAAATGCCCACTCAGAAACTATAGAATCCTGGAGTAGAACATTATGGCCAGTTGATGTTTTATTACATATATTTCATTTGAATCCCATATAGTCACCAATTTATAGTCATGCAAATGACTTCCTCTAGCATAGACATAAACTTAAAGACCACTTAGAGCTCAGACTGAGCAGGGAAGCCAGTGTTCAAAACCTGCCTATGAATGGGCTTTGAATCTGGAGCTGCTGCCAAGATAGCAAGCATGAGGCATAAAGATTTGTGTTTCACTGCTTCACCATGTCCAGCTTCTCTGCCTCCACATGAGGTTGAGAGAGTTCCACTGTTTTTTCTCCCACTCAGTAAAAGAGGCATTGCCAAAAGCTTTCAACAATGAGTCCAAAAGTTAGAAATTATCTCCTTAGGGTGAATAGAAAGAATAACATTGAAAATGATGGACAGCAATTGTCTTTCTACCTGTATTGATCTCCTCCAATTAACTGTGGACATATTAAAAATGAAGGGAATGAAAGAAGTATACAACCGAGTTGGAAATAGCTTTCTATACATAGAAATTAATAAACCAAAACCTGTTTTTTTCCCCCCAGGGTAAGCAGGGAGTCCATGGTTCAGATGAGAATGGAATCATAATTGGCAGCAGATTCGAAGTATGAATCACTGGTCCACACTCCATATCTCAAATTGGAAAACTGGCGACAATGTCGAATCAATGAATGAATGACTTATGTTCTTTCAGATGGGAAAGTGCCTGAGATTCCTCTGATCAAATCCCCCATTTTACAGAGGAAGTTATTTAGAGGCTCATCAGTGAGAGTGTGGAAATCAAACTCTTGATTCCCAGGATGCTGTTCTTAGTCTCCTCTCTATACAACTCTCAGGAAATAAACATATCTCATGCTTTTCTTCTGGAAATGTTTTCCATTTTCCTCTAATTCGTTCCTCACCTTTTCTTCTTTCCTTTATTTCATAACTTGCTTCAACTTAGTTTAATATTTCATTTCCTTTATTTTGTTACCATTGTGCACCACTGACAAAACGAGAGAAAATTAACTTCACATGCAGAAGGAAAGGTTGCAGTAGGAACAGGAAAAGACTTTTAATCACAGGAGAGGTCAAAGGACAACTTTAATAGTGGAATAGATACTTTCCCATTGGTTAGTCCTTTCTGAAGAGAGGACTAATTAGATGAATTCTATTTTTCAATAATGTTATAGATAACCTTTTCAGACTTTTCAGAGTGAATCTTTTTTTCCCAAAATTATTCTTCTTGCTTTTTAAAGTCTTCTTTCCTTTATATTAAAGATGGCAAAGGATCTATTTTGCTGTGGGATTATTTCTTTGGTAGATTAAACAATTTTTTTCTTGCAATCAAGGTATCCATAAAACCTAGAGTCAAATTATTTACTCTCTTATATATCTCCTAATTCCTTCCTTGTAAAAGAGCTGACTGCAATATCTGTCCTTGGCATTATGGATCTCTGGAGCCTAGCAGCATCCAATAAATAAGAGCTGAAGAAGACCACATATCTACAGGGTTATGATGTAAATGAAAATGTGACTATTCTAGAAGACTTCAAGGGGTAGAACTAGGATTGATGAGTGGAATTTACAAGGGTGCATATTTCAAGTCAGGATAAGGGTGATGATTCTTACACAGAGAATTTCCAAAAATGGAGTCAATTGCTTCATAGCTAATGAGTTTTTTTCTGTCACTGGACAAGCTCAGGCTGGGACCACCTTCAAACAATGTTGTGGAGGGGCTTCAGATTTGGATAGGTGGTTGGACAGTTAAGATCCCTTCCAAACTTGAACTATCACATCTCAGTGATCTGGTCACTTTAGCAAGTATGTATTTTGCCAAAACATGATGTATATATTAACTTTATAGTTGATATATTAAGATTTTTTTAGTGGTACATAAGTAAACATTTTATTTTTTATTTTTTTGACTTTTTAAAAAATTTAAATCCAAGTTAGTTAATATATAGGTTAATAATGGTTTCAAGAGTAGAATTTAGTGATTTATCACTTACATATAACACTCAGTGCTCATCCCCACAAGTACCCACCTCAATGCCCATCACACATTTAGCCCATCCCCCGACCCAACACCCCTCCAGCAACCCTCAGTTTGTTCTCTGTATTCAAGAGTCTCTTATGGTTTGCCTCCCTCTCTGTTTTTATCTTATTTTTCCTTCAATAAACATTTTAAATTATAATAGTTACATTTAATTTTTTTAATGTATCAATTCAAAATTTCCTTTGAAAATACATTTACCAGGGACTTTCACTTCCATTTATAGCAGACCAAATTCTAATATACCAATCTTTCCACCAAAAATACCTAGAAAAGCTGGAAAAAATTTTTTAAAAGCCATCTGAAGGTCTTATTTATGATATGGTTGTGTAAACAGTTCTACAGATAATTATATACTGGGGACAAAAGAATGGACAAAAGCTGGCAGATTCTCAAGGGGAGTTGACATTTCAAGAAGAGAACAGGATGGAGGGAGTTTTCTGTCTTTTACAGTTTCTAGCTAGAGGGCAATTCCCAACTGGTACACATGAGGTAACAAAAGCTTAAAGGGAGAAATAAACAATTCCCAGTGATAGCTTGAGATTTTAATACTTTTGTTTATGCATTTAGTAGAACTTACACTAATCTAAATACCAATAAAGGCAAAGATGATACTATCAATCACCTGGACTTAATTATTATTTGTAGAACACTACACCCAATAAATACAGAATAATACACATTATTTTTCTTTTTTAGAGAGTGAGCAAGCACGTGAACGAGGGAGAGGGGCAGAAGGAGAGAGAGAGAATCTTAATCAAGCTCCACACTCAACATGGGAGCCCAACACAGGGCTCTATCCCACAACCCTGGGGTCATGACCTGAGCCAAAATCAAGAGTCAGGTGCTCAATGGACTGAGCCACCCAGGCATCCCCAGAATACACATTCTTACCAAGTACATGGTTTGTTTACAAAGAAAGTCTATATGCTGGATAATAAAACAATCCTCATTAGATTTAAAGAACAAAACTGCACAGAGTATATTCTCTAACTACAGTGGAGTAAAACTCAAAATCAGTAATAAGATACATAGAAACCCTTAAGTAATTAGAAATTAAGCAACACACTTTTAGCTATTCCATAGGTCAAAGAAGAAATCATATGGGAAATTAGAGTATATTCTGATATCTATGGTAAAAAAATACAACATATCAAACTCTGTGGGATATGGATAAAACAGTGTTTAGAGGGAAAGTGACACACTTAAATGTTATATTAGAAAGAAAAAAGGTCTAAAAATCAATGACCAAATGTTTCATCTTAGAAATTTAGAAAGAGAAAGGGAAAGTAAGCCAAAAGCAAATAGGAAGAAGGAAATCATATAGGTAAGAGAAAAAAAGAAATGAGATAGAAATTAATAGAGCTAAAATTTGCCCTTTGAAAAGATCAACAAAATTGGTTATCTCCTAGCTAGACTGGAAATGAAAGAGAAGGCAATAACCAATATCAAGAATGAAAAGGGATTATCACTCAGATCCTACTGATATTAAATAGAAAACAAGAGACTATCATGGACAATTTCATGCAATGATTTTGACAATATAGATGAAACGGACAAAATATTTGAGCAGGGTAAAATAGAATGTCTAAATAGCCTTTTATCTATTAGAAAAATTGAATTAGTTATCATAAACCTTTCCACCAATGAAACAATAGAGAAAGATGGTTTCACTGACAAATTCCATAAAAATTTATGGAAGGAGTAGTATCAGATTTAAAACACTTCACAATTTGTTATATGTGTAATGTTAATACAAAGTTTGATAGGGACTTTATTTGTTTGTTTGTTTGTTTATTATAATATCAATTAAATATATTTATTTATTTATTTTTAAATATGAAATCTATTGTCAAATTGGTTTCCATACAACACCCAGTGCTCATCCCAACAGGTGCCCTTCTCAATACCCATCACCCACCCTCCCCTTCCTCCCACCTCCCATCAACCCTCAATTTGTTCGCAGTTTTTAGGAGCCTCTTATGTTTTGATGTTTTGGCTCCCTCCCTCTCTACCCTTTTTTTTTTTCCTTCCCCTCCCCAATGGTCTTCTGTTAAGTTTCTCAGGATCCACATAAAAGTGAAAACATATGGTATCTGTCTTTCTCTGTATGACTTATTTCACTTAGCATAACACTCTCCAGTTCCATCCACGTTGCTACAAAGGGCCATATTTCATTCTTTCTCATTGCCACATAGTACTCCATTGTGTATATAAACCACAATTTCTTTATCCATTCATCAGTTCATGGACATTTAGGCTCTTTCCACAGTTTGGCTATTGTTGAAAGTGCTGCTATAAACACTGGGGCACAAGTGCCCCTATGCATCAGCACTCCTGTATCCCTTGGGTAAATTGATAGGGACATTACTTAAAAGGAAAGAAAAGAAAGAAAGAAGAAAGAAAGAAAGAAAAAAGAAAGAAAGGAGAAAAAAGAAAAAAGTGAAGAGATAAAGAAATACTAAAGAAAGTTGTAGACCAATATCTCTTATGAACATAAATGTAAAAATTCTTAACAAAATATGAACACATAGAATGCAGTAATATATATTATTACCAAGTAGGATTTACCCTAGTAATACAAAGTCAGAAAAACAATCAATGTAATTCACTCTGTTGATATAATAAAGAAAAATACAGTATATTTTTAATAGATTCAGGAAAAGCATTTGACAATATTAAATCCAACATCTATTTATAATTCACACACACACACACACACACACACACACAGCAAACTAACAACAAAAGAGAACTTCCTTAATCTGATAAAAGGAATCTATAAAATACCAACAACTGACATAATAATGGTGAACTTTTGAACACATTTTCCTTAACATCAGGAACAAGGCAAAGGATACAAATGTCTTAGATGTCTTTCAATCGGAGACTCAATAACCAAGCTTATCCAAAGTTTGTATATTCATGTAATGGAATACTCTTCAGCAACAAAATAAGAACAAATTATGGATACACAGAACAATATGAACTTCAGAAATATTATATTGAATTAAGCCTTACACAAAGTCATATGCTGTATGTGCTTCCATATTTATGAAGTTTTACAATAAGCAAAAATAATCTATTGTACAAGAAAATTGTAATAGCTGTTGCCTCTGGGGTGGTTGGAGTGGGAAATAATGGGAAAGAGGCATGAATGCTAGAGGTTTGGATTATACAGTGTATACATTTGTCAAAACTCAATCTGTGTTTACTTAAAATTTACAAAATTCATTTAATGTAAATTTTTGTGTCTAAAGAAAAATGTCTGTAAAGCAATATTGAACTCTAGTTAATGAAATGCATGCTGACATATTTAAAGGAAGGTGTCTCATGGCCTTAATATATTTTAAAATGCATATAAAAAGTTGAATTGATGGATGGACAGAAGGATAGATAGATGGGTATACATGAAATAAGCCAATCATGAAAAAATGTAAATAATAGAATCTGGTCTATGGGTATGTGTCTGTTCACTGTAAAATAACATTTTCTTTATATCTGAAAATTCCCATACTAAAATATTGAGGGAAAAAATATGTTTGAAATAATTGGAAAGCTACCACAGCAGCACGAACCATGAGGGGACAAGATCTAAGAGAAAAGGGGAGCATAGAGAAGTGAAACTGGTCTTCAGCTGCATTTTTCTCTAGAGCAGATGCTGATTTTAAGTGGCAGCTGAGAGAATGAAAAACTGAGGTGAACTTTCAGTAATCTCTAGACTTCAGAGGTAAAAATTGGAGTTCAAGAATCACTGAGAAGTGCTTTCAATTTTAATTGTTGAAAGGCTACTTCTTAAGATAAGGGGGAACCAAAAATAGAACCACTTTTGCAATGACAGAAACCCAAGTTTCAATCAGCTCAAAATAAGATTCAGATAATCTTTTCTTAGTTCAAGTGTCTAACAGAAACAAAAGAAAATCCTTACTGAAGTACACCATGCTTCAATTATATGCATAACTGTTCTTTTTACACACACCAGGAAACATGTCCAAATGAGTAAGAAACAAGAGGAAAAAAATCAGACAACTGGAAGAAAACCCAAGGATATCCGTATATTGAAGTTAATAGACACAGATTTTAAAACAATGTTTAAAAATTAATAGTAAGATGAGGAATATCATGAATCTATTTAAAAGAATCAAATATAAATACTAGCACTGAAAAACACAACACAAAGTTAAGAATGCTGTTTAAATACAACTGAAGAGGAGATTAGTGTACCTCAAAAATCCAGTTA